GAACAACATCGACATGAGAGAGACACGTAGATTGGTTGCCTCCCACACACCCAGGGCCGGGGATCGAACCTACAACCCCGGCTCGTGCCCTTGACTGGGAATCAAACCCTTGACCCCCGATGCACAGGCTGATGCTCTAACCAGCGAGCACACCCGCCAGGCCTGGAAGACCATTTTTTAAAAACTTGCAACCTTTCTGCCTGTAACTTAAGGAAATTTGGCCAATTGCTCTTACTTTCAGTCATGTACTCTTAGTTAGTCGTGCATTTCGTAGATGATTATTTAACAGCAGTGGCATTGCCTTGATGTGGGTGTTTTATGTCCTGAGTCAACTTCTCAGTGAGAGAGAATTCAAGCGAGAGTTTTAATTTGCATCCTTGGATATTGTTTTTGCAGACCCACCCAAGACCTACACCCAGGACGGGGTGTGCCTGACCGAATCAGGGATGACGCAGTTACAGAGCCTCATAGCTACAGCTCCAAGAAGAAAACGGTCAAAGCCAAAGTTGAAGTTGAGGATTATAAACCAGAACAGCGTGGCCGTCCTGCAGACCCCCCCAGACATCCAGTCCGAGCACTCACGGGACGGCGAAATGGATGACAGTCGAGGTAGTACTGATTGATTTTGTGCGCTGTATGTTTGCAAGAATTAAAGCATATAAGGTAGCTTTTAAAATACGAATGATTCCTGTAAGGATAAATCCCACTGACGTAGGTAACCCTCAGTGTGACACCTGCCCTTTCCAGCCAGATGGGTGGTCTTCCCCGACCTGCCTTTGCTGGTTCCCTCCCTTCTTACGTGACCTTTACACACGTGTGTGTGTGTGTGTCTGTGTGCGTACATACACACACACACACGTATGATTGATTTCAGAGGGGGAGAGAGAAACATTAATGATGAGAGTCATTAATCAGCTGCCTCCTGCTGGGGATCAGCCCAAAACCCAGGCATATGCCCTGGGTGGGAATTGAACCGAGATCTCCTGGTTCATGGGTCAGTGCTCAACCGCTGAGCCACGCCAGGCCCTCCATGCCTTTTAACGACGATAGGTTAACACCTGGAAAGGGAGAAGGTTTGTCTTAAATTGGTAGCTCAGTTTTGGGTATAGTATTTGAATAGGTGACACCCAATTCCAGCTGTAGTTGGAACTCAGAAGGGAGCTCTGGGCTGGAGAGCGAGCCATGGGGTCCGCGGCCTGAGGACATAATTAAAACCAAGGGAATGATTCGGGTGCAAATTGATTTATAATTTTCTCTGTGTGTGTAACTGTTTCATTTCCTGAGATACTGCATTAAGTAGCATGAGCTTTGCGGCCATTTGGGGGCTTTTCCCACCCTGGGCGCATGGTTAGCAGGGCTCGTGACCCTTCTCTGTGTGTTTCCTGTTCCGTGGGAATGACGTACTTGATAGGTTTCCCAACTTTCTCTGTACGTTTACTGTTTTCCAGAAGGAGAGCTCATGGACTGTGATGCGAAGTCAGAATCTAGTCCGGAGCGGGAAGCTGCGGATGACGACGCCAAGGGCATGGAAGGGACCGAGGGCGTCAAAAAGAGGAAACGGAAACCGTACAGACCAGGTGCGGCGAGTTCCGATCCCGCCCCAACTCAGTCTAAGAAAAATAGAGTGGCCAGGGCTTCCCTTACAATTGACAGGATGAAACGCAGCTTCTCCGCATCTTCTGAACTGAGACGTGGGTGTTTAAGTGAAAGAACTGAACTGTTTGAATGTGCTCTTCGGGTGACAGATTCCTTAGGTTGGATCTGTGATACTTCACCATAAATCGTTATTTAAAGCCTTCCCCGAACGTCAGCCATTTCATCAAATGCCTTACTAGATGGCTTTTATCTATACCTTTCTAATATTTTTGTTTTTTAAGCTTATTTTAGTATTTATGCCGGAGTGCCAGGAAATACACAGTATGGAAGAGGCGTGTTAGGGTCCTTAGGCCTCCTGAAGTGTATAGTCCTGTTAGTACTATGATGACAAACTCTCTTATTTCCTGTCTGCCTCGGGGGTAGAGAGAAAAGCTGTCTTGCTTGTCATATTTTATTTGCCCTATTGGAGTAAATTATTGAAATGGTCACAATTCAAAACATATAGCCTTTCTTTAGGCAGCTTATTAATGTTTTATATACCAAACCTGTGCGGTGTTAAGTTGAATTGGTTCCGATTGCTCGTATTACTGACAAGAGAAAGAACTGTCTCACTGTTTGTATTCTGCAGGACCTCAGGTGCTAAGCCTCCTTACAGAGGGGCCACATCTGTAAGGACCCAGACTAGCGTCACCCAAATCACTTTATGGAAACGATTTCACTTCTTCCCGATTATGAGGCGTATAAATACACTTACTTTTTTTAGACACTGCGATTCCTTCTGGGAACTTTTATTTTTCCCCCCTCTCTCTGCCTCACATGGAAGCCATCCATCCCTCCCAGTGACCCGTTACGTCACAAAGTACATTGTTAGGCTTGGATCACGTGACAAAGCCGATGACGTTGACCGTGTGTCAACATTATCGCTGCTTTACCAGCAAGGGGTCTGAGCACTGGAAAGTTAAATCAGTTGCCCAGAGTCAAGTTGCGAACAGAATTTCAGAGTCCGCTCTGGTTTCCTTGCCCTTAACTGCAGACCTGCGCACGTCTCCCAAGGGCCTCGCTGAGGAGTGACAGATGCAGTGGCCCTGAAGTCTGTCTAGTATAGTCAGTGTCTTGTCTCTTTTCTCCCTCCGCTAATAGACAATGTAAGTTATATCATGTAAGTTACAGATACTAGTTAAGAACATTAATTTTGACATTCTGTCCTCAAATGAATTTTCATTGCTGGTTTGGTTGGTTAGTGATAAGGCAACAGTCTTTTTAACCTCTTATTTGCTTATTTCCAAACTCTTGTAGTTTTGCGTGAAAATTAGATTAATGATTTAAATAAGCCCATATTGCATCTGTAAAATGCTTTACTGTATAAGACTAAGCAACTTCACCCTTCTTACTGTGGACCCATAGTGATAAATTTGTTATTTACGAGGTTGTGCAATTTTTTTTTTTATAGGTATTGGTGGATTTATGGTACGGCAACGAAGTCGGACCGGGCAAGGAAAAACCAAAAGATCGGTGATGAGGAAAGATTCCTCGGGCTCTGTTTCGGAGCAGTTGCCTAGCAGAGAGGACGGTATGGGTTTTGTTTGGTTTAACCCCTTTGTGTTGCTATCGCTCCTGAACAGAACTGTCCTAAATAACACTACCACCTCATTGCTGCTTTTATGACCAAAGGATCCGAGTGCCTGCAGAGTTCATACCAGTGATACAGAAATTAGGTGTGATAAGGAGACGATTTGAATCCCGTAGACTATATTCCTTTGAGGTTTTTTTTTTAAACAAGTTCCTTTTTTTTCCTGTGTTAAATAATAGATAGTTTAGGGACTGAATCACTTAGTTTCGTATCCGGGACTTTAAGGCCATTGCAGGAAAGGCCTTTCTCTGACTGCTGCCTTAGCTGCTTGGCATAAAACTGGAAACTTTGAGACTATGTAGTTGAAAGTGATAGTGTACTTTTAACAAAATTGTATGTTTTAGAAATACATCTTCCAATTAATATTGTCATTTTCACTTGGAGTGTCAAAGAAAGCTGAGTTGTTGGTTAAGCCGTAGCAGAACTGGCTCTGATGACGCTGCAATCATGGTCATGATCTGTACGCTTGGATATTTTAAATGCTTTCTATAGGATGTGGGGGAAAAGTTACTGTTTTCAGCATGTGCTCTGAACAGAGTTCTTCCATTATCATGGGATGGGGTATTGTCCTGTGAATTAACAAAAATTAGAAATTGCTGCATTTTAGCCTGGTGGGCGGGGCTCAGCGGTTGAGCATCAACCTAGGATCCAGGACATCGGGGTTCGATTCCCCGTCAGGGCACGTGCCCCGGTTGCGGGCTCGACCCCCCCATGGGGGACGTGCAGGAGGCAGCTGATCAATGACTTGTCGTTGATGTTTCTCTCTCTCCCCCTCTCTCTGAAATCAATAAAGATATATTTATTTAAAAAAAAAAACGGCAGGAAACATGCTGATACTAAATAGACACGTAATGACATGTTATGATGCTTGAACTTTACTTACACACTTGCTTTGCGGTGCCTTTGTGGCAAGCTCGCCAGGCGCCGCGCNGGCTGGGGCGAGCCGCTGCCCGACGCTCTGGCTGATGACTCCGTTTCTGTGGCTGAAAACACTGAGAAGATAAAGAAGAGATACCGGAAAAGGAAAAACAAGCTCGAGGAAAGCTTCCCTGCCTACTTGCAGGTAATACTCTGCTTTACATTGTGTTCGGTAGCTCGTTAATGGAAGAAGGGTATTGCGTTTTGAGAAATAGGTTGTTTTTGTTAATTTCTTATTTGTGTTTCATTAGTACCCTCAGTGCCACTTTGCCTCCCGGGGGCTCATGGCAGGCAGTGCTCACCTCTGCGCCCGCCCGGGCCCTGACCAGCTCGGGGCGCGGCGGCGGCTTCCCGCCTTTCCCCTCCCGGCCGTACACTGATGTCCAAAATCCTGCTGCACACCGAAAATCAGACTTTTTGCCAATCTGACAAAAACGTGTAACTTTGATTCATTCACAACAGAAAGCCGCTGTTGTGTTGGCTGCTAACACTTTTTTATCTGACAGCCTAAGAGATCAGGGCCCCTGACCAGAGGACCGGGCGTCTGCTCAAAAGCTCACTGCAGCCCTGCCGGGGCTCGGCAGTGTCGGTGCCCGCCCACGGCCCC